AGCTATACTTCTCTGGAACAAGGTGAATTTTTTTTAATTCTATTACCAGACGTAATTTGCTCAATATCCTTTCTGTTTATTTTGTTCTCCTACATGTGTGCCTTCATATTCTTAGCTCTTCTAAATTTTTAAGTGCTTCCTCTACATGTACAGGGTCTTTAGCATTTTTGTAAACAGCTATCATTCTGTTGGTGCTGGAATTTCTTAAGTATCCAGCTGTTTTGTATTTGGTTGCTCAACATTATGATCTAGATTGTCCTCTACCATTTGTAGCTTCATGTTAGTATTTGTTTTGTTATTGCGATATTTCTTTCTGCTACTCTTGGATTAACTTACTGTGAGGTTGATGCCATCAGACAGTGGAAGCTGCTTGTCTTTCTTAGTCTTTTGCTTTATGATTTTTGTATTTTGCTGACATGGTACTGCTTGCTGGATGACATTTCCTTTTATGGTCATTAATTGGGATAAAAGAACCTCGGGAACCATGTAAGCTAGGTGATTTATACATTGGGAGGGAAATAAAAAAGAGAACCTTTGAAGAACAAGAAAGAAAGATAGTGACGAGATTATAAACTGACTGGATTAAGCCAGCTTTGTAACTTATGAGATTCTTGAGTGGCTTTATATCAACCTGTGGGTGATTTTTCCACTGCCTTCTGCCTCTTTTTTCTCGTGTTAACTTGTGGAGTCATTGCTGAACACTTCACAAGTGGTTCACAAAAATGTTTCCTTGAGGAGAAATTGCTGCACCATCTCACTTATGATTGGATATTTTTATTTTAGTACATTGCAAAACTTTCAATGAACAATGATAAACCATTTTTGCATTGCCCTGTTTATTGTTGAGTGTTTCTTTGACGTGACTAAACCATTCAGGATGTATGGGTTCCATATCGAGTTTTGCATTGACCCATTTTCTGTCCTAAGCTTTGAGTTGTATGCTTGTATCAAAAAATCCAATTGTTGTTTTTGTTGTCTCCCTCGGAGAAATTTTTTGCTAATTTGACCTTGTAACTATTCAAAGCCTTATTCCAGGTTTTGTGGAGGGACAAGAAGTCAGGTGTTCTTTTTACATTACTTAAATATTCTGAACAGCTAAGCAGCCAGATAATATGCTTTGAAGCACTTCGGGTAATTTCAAGTGAAGCTATAATCATCTAATGTGTTGGTTATTTATGTTGAGTTGTGGTGGCTTATAAGCTTATTAATGCTTCTTTGGTTGAGCATATACTTCCTGCTCTTCACAATTTGGTATCTTACATTCAGATTGCTTGTATGATTCTGTGTGAATCATTGGTGATTGTCCTTATATTTGTTCCTTTCATTCAATTAGACATTGCTAAACTTCCTGAGCTTGAATCATCTGCTTGTTATAGCAAAGAAAGATGTAGTAAAGGATGCTAAAGGAGGAATGAGATCATGTTTAAGTGTAATGAGCCACAGGATCAATAAATAATATTGGCAGTATCAGCGCAATAGAATTGATGAACTTTATATGAAGTTCATTGTGAAGGTAATGCTTGTTTGTTTTTATGTTAAGTGAGCATGTTTTTGGGAGCTTTCCTCCTCCCAACGACAACACACTGACACAGGGAAAAATGAAGGAATTGGCTTTTGGTATTATCTTGCATTGTAGATTTTTTGGAAAATATTAAGTTCAATTTGTTGCAAGTATATAATCCCTTTGAATGTTAATTTAGCTATTCCACGTAGTTGATTCTGACTTTACATTTACTAGGTTCAATGGAATGTCCGCCACGTGCCGATTAACCTGTTTTTATTAAGACAATACAACTGCAGGATATGGATTGGTATGATGATATTAAATTCTTCATCCTTGCATTCTTGCCAATACTGCCAGTAATATGTTTGCCTCTTCTTGTTTAAAACAGTTGAATTTATGCTGTTGTTAACAATAATCAAGCCAGTCAAATTCGAAGGTTGTTGAAGACATTGTAATGTCCAGGTATGACTCTTTCCTCCCATGCCTCCTTTACCAGTGAAGATAAATTGAGAAAATAAAAATAGAAATTGCTCTTCCAATTTTTGATAAACAAATTTTCTTGTTATCTGAAGCTTTTATGCATCTCTTCTGCATTGCATTTATTTGGTTCTTATGAATCCTAAAGGTTCTATTTCTGAAATGCAAGTAAATCATTACAGCTTAGGGCTGTAATATTAATCCATAAATTTTGAACTTTTCTTTTGTGTCTTTGCTACTTCATGAATGTAAAATGTACTTGCAGGTTTTGGGTTTTGTTGCATCTTTTCAAATGTTTTTTGCTTATGGCCTTGCTAGTGGTCCCCAACTCATGTCTGCTACCGTTGGTTCCTAGGAGCCAGAACTAGGTTCACTGAACTTAAGTTTACTTCAGAAGAGCCAAAAAGATCAAATAATACTTCGTGTAGGCCTCTGCACTTGTGCAAAAAGGATAGTTTAAATACAAGGCAGGCTAAAGCTGAGGATTTTCAGGCTTTTTATGATCATGATTCTTCTATGGCTGATATTACGTCATCAGATTCCGACTACAGTGATAACGATGGATCACTTGAAGATATCAATAATTTTTGTTGCTCAAAGGTTAGAGTATCTGCCATTGTTTGTGTACCGATTTTCAAGGCTTCTCCAGCTATAATAGCCCAGTTCTAGGTGATTTTTTACTATTCCCTATTAAATATGTGGAAAAATTTTTATATGTGGCAAGTCTTGTTTTTGATTTAGGAATTAATGGGAATACTTCCAACACCATGACGGTGATACCTAAACTTAGGTCATACAGTATAAATGGAGTCCTTTAGAATAGAAGTGATTGTTTTCAAAATTGTTAAATTCGCTGATTAGTCATATGAATTGACAGTAGGAATAACCATGAATTCTACATTGATATAGCATTGAAGGTTCCCTTTTTAGGTAGGTTTTTTTTTTATTTTTTTGCTTTGTTATTCTACGCATTTAGGATTTCTTATGTCAGAATAGAATTAGGTTGGGGAGGGCATTTACCTTGAAATCAACTTAAAATAGTTTATACAGTTACTTGCGGAACATTGTTTTAAAAAATTAAACAAAATACTATTTTACGGTTCGTAAATTTTTTATAAATGCATTTTAAAATCCTTCCTTTCCATGTACAGGGTCTCTAGCATTTATTTAAACACCTATCATTCTGTTGGTGATGGAATTTCTCAAGTATCCAGCTGCTTTGTATTTGGTTGCTCAACACTGTGATCTAGATTGTCCTCCACCATTTGTAGCTTCATGTTAGTATTTGTTTTGTTATTGCAATATTGCTTTTTGCTACTCTTTGATTAACTTACTGTGAGGTTGATGCCATCAAACCATGGAAGCTGCTTGTCTTTTTTAGTCATTTGCTTTATGGTTTTCATTATTTGCTGGGATGGCACCGCTTGCTGGATGACATTTCCTTTTTTTGGTCTTTAATGGGGATAGATGCCATTGAATGATCATTGACACTGAATATTTCCAATTGGGGCTTCTTTCATTGTGTGTGTTTGTGGTGAAGGAGCATTGTCAAGCTGATCCCAAGTCTTTAACAACTCAAAGGACAATGCTTTTGCCGACCAATGATGTACTACAACCAAGGTAATGTGATCCACTATTGTTCTCAGATTCTATTTTTTATTCCTCTCATTTTTCTGTATCATGTTGTCTTTGTTTCCCATTTGTTTCACAATGCTGATTGCAGGAAATTTGAAGCGACTCAGATGGCAACCTTGTAATGCGATCTTTACATAAAGGTTCCACTTTTGTTGTTTGTAGATAATTTTTTTTAACATCTTTTTTTCTTGGCCAAGTATTTAACTTCCTGGCCTCTTGCTTGTAATTTAGTTGACAATCATTAGATTGTGATGCATGGATATTTTCATTCTTATTTATGACTTAACATCTAATTGTCAGATATTTTCCTTAACCTCAGTAATGCTTCTTGCTTAGATGTGCAACTTTACGATGCCTAGACATGAATGGCAACAGCCTTAGCTTTGGATGTCATGATGGATGGGCCTGCTATTGTTTTTCTACAGGTAGCAGAATGCAAAGAATCTACTAAATGTGAATCTTTTATGGCGATTTCTGGTACTCTTGGCCAGATACTAATGGAACTTCGTACTGGTACTAGAAATAAATAATTGTCCTCTGCAGTTCAACTGTTTTTTTTTTTTTTCCTTTTGCAAACTGTGCTTGCTTTTGATACTTTCTGTCTGTGTTTCTTTTTTCTAATATAATTGTCTATAGTACTATCTTTGTCTCTCTTCTTTCTGATGTAGGTATTCTACACTTAATTCAGAATGAAACTAATCATCGGTTGCTGGTGTTGGTATTAAAGATTCTCATGTTTTTGATATCATGACACCATTTAAGTGTCCCTTGCTCATGGTTGTTAAAATGTTTGATTTACCCTCTTCTTTAGCTGATATTTGTGCCTTCTCAGTGAATGCTTTCTGTTGTTCTTATGATGCGGAACCTTGTTTTCAGACTCATCATGTGCATTTATTAATAATTTTCTATCAGATATAAGAACCTTGATCTGTAGATTCTTTTTCAGAGGTGAAATAAAGATAAAGGTGGTATTTGAGAATAAAAGAACCTTGGGAACCATATAAGCTAGGTGATTTATACATAGGGAGAGAAAGTAAAAAACGAGAATATAAAATGACATTGAAAGTCAGTTATGCAACGTACGAGATTTTGAGTGGCGTTATATCATCCCAGGAGTGATATTTCATTTGCCTTCTTCCTCTCCTTTCTTGTGTCTCACCCCCTCTTAATCTCCGTCTTTTCTTTTTATGCTAATCTTGTTTTATACACTCAATATCATGATATTCTGGTAATTTTTTTGGAGACTGTGATAACTTCTTCTTTCATTGTGTGCGCGCAAAATGTTGTATAAATATGCTCTTTTATTAATCTAGCTTAGTATAGGTTTGGAATTCACAAAACAGATAAGAACAAACAAGATACTTCAATCAATTGTGTTTTCAGTGTACATTGGGACTTTATGAAGGATTTGATTCTCAAAAATGTTTGAATGGTGAATAAGAATCTGAGTTTAGGTCCATATTGAAAATCCAGTGTGGTTTTTATTGTTGCTTTTAGATGCTTGAAGCAGAACTCATTTCATGGTATCTTGCCTTCATTAATTTTATGTGTTTCCTCCTTTCATCTTTTGGGAAAAGCTTTCCATATGCATTCTAGATTTATTGCACTTTGTTGCTTATACCTTTGGTAATAAGATTAAAAGCATGGAGTTGGTAACAAGGTTTTATAATGTGAGAATCAGAGTAAGTGAGGCACAGGAATCAACTCTACCCTTCACCTTCTAATCATGGTGCTCAATTTTGTTTTTTCAAACATTTTATATTATCACTAATATATATCTTTCATAAGAGATTAGTTTCTTACCTTTATAACTTTCCTTATTTATCCTTACATTGCATGCTGTCATACTCTTGTGACTTTTAATAAAATTTTTCTTATTTCAAACTGGAACGTCCATACATACATATCAAGGGTGAGAGTGTCTTTAACCTCATTTTATGTGGATAATTTCATTCTTATTTATGACATTACAATATCTTGTTGGCAGATGTTTTCCTTAACCTCAGTAACGCTTCTTGCTTAGATGTGCAATTTTATGATTGCTAGGCACGAATGGCGTCCGCCTCAGCTCTGGCTTACATGTGCAATTGTAGGCCCTTTGAGCTGTTGCACACAATTACCATGACTTAATGTTAGTAAGTTGGGGACAAATTTCTGCCATTGTTCATAAATTTCTGAGAGAAGCTACTGCTGAAATTCCAAGAAGACCTAGAGGAACAAGCTGGAAACACTGTTATGTTTGTTGGGGAAAAAATGGTTACAGCTGCTATAAAGGTAAGATATCCAATTGGTTTCCTCTTTAATTTTTTATTTATGTCTTCTTGTATGTTTGTTGGAGACATTTCTGATTAGATCCTTTTGAATGTACTCTTGACAGGCATTAGTATCATTTTTATTATGGTTTCTCTGGATTTCGCTGGTCTGGAAACTCCAGAAACACATCCTGTGCACCAAACACATGGAAGGCAGGCAGATTGTTCTTGCCAGAGTTATTAGATAAATTAGATCTTAGGGAAGTTTCAGCTTTTGACACTATATTTTGATCTACCTATGTAATATGTTGAGATTCCCTTTCTCAATTTAGTAGTTGCATGTGCAAGTTGCCATTTCTGATTTAAATTCTTTCTTTTTCTCCTTGTTAGACTCGACAATTGATTCATAACTTTTGACGCTACTTCATTCTTCAGGTTGTGGATGAATGTCTTTGTGCAACATCTGGACTTAGAGGAATTGAGGATCTTCCGGATGAAAAATTTTTTGGATACCCATTTACTTCTGATTTAAAAGGACAAAGAATGTATCATCTGCCCCATCGTATGGACCACAGAGTCTGGAAGATACAAAATAAGAACAAAATACATGTCCATCAGGAGTTGTCAGAATTGAACAATTCAGAAGCACATGCCTCTCATTCTATGGCATACTTCTGCAATGGTTAGTTAAAGCCTTCTCCCCCTTTCAGTCCTCTTATATGCAATTAGAGGTGGATGCAAGCAATTCTCTCTGCCTTAACTTTTTCTTTTTGTTTGTCCTCCAAATCTCTACTTCCGGCCCTATTTTTTAAATTCCCCATTTTTTAACCATGCCTAACATTCTGGTAAAACCATCCAAATTGGAAATCAATTTTGACCTCATTTGATGCCCTACAGACATAAAATAACTTTTGATAACTGCCATGCCCTTATTTTATTCCTTTTCCTTATCTTTCTCTATTTGGTTGGATAGATGACGTCAAGCTGTTGACTTGCTGGATAAGTTCTACTGCATGCTGCAGTTATTGGCACTAACAGCATGTTTGGATTGAGGTAAGGGGAGAGAAAGGAAAGGAATGGAAAGGAAACAAAAGGAAATGGGGAATCCTTTCAAATAAAGAAAAGGAAGGTATGCGTAGCTTTCCTTGGTTTCCCTCAACTTCTTTCATTTTTTGGGGGGAAAAGGAAGGGAAAGGAAAAGAATAAAATTTTTAAAATATAAAATGATTATTATATCCTTATTAATTTCTCTAAATTATAAATGCATGATTTCAAACTCCAAAATTAAATTGAGAATACAAAACATCATTTACCAATAAATTTATTGTTTCCAGTTTTTTTCTATTATTTTTATGAATTCCATAAATTTCATTGATGATTATTTTTATAAAAAAAATAAAGGAAAACTAAAAACATGGAATGCGTTAACATAAACATGTAAATGTTATAGTAAAAAAAAAGATTATCAAATGTTATAATTGAAAAAAAATAATATAATAAATTATTTCCTTCTCTTTCCATTATTTAACTAAACAATGGTTGTTAAGATTACTTTACTTTCTTTTCTTTTATTAATTTTAGCTATCTAAACAAAGAGTACATATATCATTTCTTTTCCTTTAAATAACCTTCTCTTTCTTTCCTTTACTTTCCCTTCTTTTCCTTTCTTTTACTAATGTTTATCCAAACATAACGTAAATATTTATCCTTGCAATTAATTTTCAAGGAAGAGGACAAAATTTAGATGACAATACACTTTTTGAATTGTGATTATTATCTCTTTCCATTTTATTGAAGGTTGTAATTACACTTATTATAAGATTCAAATATTCTATTATTACCCGTATAGATGAATGGCTTCTTTTCTCTTGCAGGCGAGAACTGCATCAATAACTTGTTTTGCTGGAATCACTTCCTCTCTATTCTTCACTCTCACGAACAAAAAACAGGATTTTGTTGTTTCGTCTTTAGTAAGTCCTGATGTTTCATCTTTAGTAAGTCTTGATAAAGCATTCTTTGAAAACTGATTTTTGTTCCCTTTTTCTTATGGCGGTAAACTCACATAAGATTTACTCCATATTCTTGATGTTTTATGCTTGGAAAAGAAATTTGTAGATCAGTGCTGCTATGCAATGATAAGGTTCCTTAAATTAGGTCAGCTGCTTGTCAAGCCATTAGTGTCGTCTTATGTTTCCAGAAAAATTCTGAGAGTTAATTCGACAATGTTGCTAAATGATCTACCCAAGTTCTTATGATCTTTTAATTAGTTGTAATGTGTAAAAATCATGAATGAAAAGTTTAAAGAAAGCTAAACTTTGTAGTGCGGAGATTCTTGGCAAGTTTATCCATGCGGTTGAGATTAACACTTGTGATCCCATGGTTTCTTTCGTACTGTTCTTAAGTTAGACCTTATGAGAATGTTTATATATTTATTTTTTGAACATGTAAATATCACTTCATAATACTTTTGCAGGTACGAGTACCAGCCTGTTGGACTTTGGCGAACATATGTGATTCTTTCTGTCTCTTTGTTGATAATTTTGCTTTAAAACAGTCAACAGGTATGGCTTGAAGGAATTATTTTTGAATTTGTTATATCTTATACTAAGTTGTTTCAAGTAATTAATTACTCTTTTCTTGAATCTGTTATAGATTCAGACACAAACTCCCAATTAGTGGAGTTGTTAACTGAGAGTGTGCTCTGCGTCTGTCAAAGGATGGGGACAAGGTATAAATTTTTGTAGCATTTTGTAATGTTTTATATATTCATGCCAGATAGGTGTGAAAGTTAACTTATAGTTATTTGGTGAGATAGGAATTTTATTCACGGTTTTGCCTTTTTTGGTGTATGCTTTTGTTGTAATTGACAACCTTTTATGTCTGTTCCGGCAATTACTTGTAAGTTTGTCAGTTTGTCAGTTTCAGTTTGTCAGTTTTTCAATTATTAGAGGATATTTATTTTTCCATGAGTTTCTTGCTCTAGCTTTATATTTACCCGAATTTCCTCAATCAGACATAGAAGGGAAGGGATGGGAAGGGCATGGATATCTCTCTTTTTACCACCTTGGAAAATATATATGAAACCTGTATATATCAGTTGTGGTTTTTAATTTTCTGTTGCTTTGACGTCGTCTCCTAGTAGACGGACGGACGGTTTCAATTGCTACCCTGCTTATAATGGTCTTGCGCCAATTGTCTGGTTTGTCCTATGTCCGTATTTTGTTGGGCAGAGCAAAAATATATTCCGGAAAAGAAAAAGGTATTCTTTGAAGCAAATCAGCCACTACCACTAGTAAGTTTCCTATCCCACAGTATGAAGCCGGCGAGCCTATGGCTACCCTGCCACCGTACTAGATTCTTTGACTCTATATGTTGACTTTCTATTATTTTTCACTGGATTCTTGGGACACTTTTTTTTCTTTAATATAATTTATCAAATATTATAATTTAAAATAAATTTTTATTTTTTAGTTTAATAAATACTTTTTTGTTTTTAAATTTTTTAAATAATAATATGGATTTTACATTTAAAATTAAATAATTAATATAAATAACATAAATGTCAATATATGAGTGTTTGATGCATGATGCCGATTAATACTTTAACATATAATTTAATAAAATTATTAATAAAAGTATCATATCGTTACAACATAGAAATTTAAAAGTAAAAATAAATTATCTAATGACTTCGAAAATTATATTTTTTATAATATCATACCACTCCCTTAATTATAATTTTTTTAGAAAAAAACTATAATTTAGGGATAAAGAAAAGAGTTAAAAGATGATAAAATTCAAGCTTTAAACTTGTTGCTTATGACATGAACTAGCTTTGCCACTATGACGGCAGGAATCTGACCTACAAAGTGCATCATAAAGTACGCATCATTCATTTACGGACGAACAAGATCAGTCCAAAGTTTCACTCTACTTAAAAATCATGATAATGTTGTCTTAGAAGTAGTTACTGCGATTCTTCATTTATCCCTCCCGGCCCCTCACTCCCCCTGTAAAACACTTGTTGGACACCTAAAACAGTTTAGATAATTGGATATATACTATATAGAACCCTTCCAAGGAAAATTAGAAAAGATGAGCTGAAAACACCCATGATTAACACCAGAGTATAAATAGAACAATGCCTCAATACGATAAACCCTGACGCAATAGCCTCTATGATACCTATCACTTTTTACACCTCAAATACAACCAGATAACTACATATTACGGTCAGAAAAAAAAAACACTAGTCACTCTAAGAAGCACCGAGTTGGAAAGCATGAAGACGATTGAAAAACCCCCTCACCTCCCCCCCCCCCCCCAACCATCACCATCACCACCACCAACTACCACTTTCAACAAAAAAGTTATTATCTGTGAACAACATCAAGTCATGGAGAACAGTATACATTTTGTATTTGCTGCTTAGCCCACAGAAAATGTGCAAATGTTCTATTTGACAGACAATAGATAGTAGCAAACAAACCTGGCAAGTCACATTATTCAAACTCTTTGTTTCCTCATCTTTCCCAACAAGAAGCATATAAAAATGTCATTATGCGGACAGACAATTCCTCATAAATCATAGTTCTCATATTGACTATATCAGAAACCAGCCCACCCACCAGGTTGAGAAGTTGGATGATTCTCCTTGATTGTTGACTCACCGAAGCGCTGAGAACTACTTCCTTCACTTACAGGTGGTTTCAATCTCTGGGGGCTGGCAGCAGGAGCAGCTGTAAAGCTATCTGTACCAAAACCCCATGTGTCCAAACCAGAAGAAGCTTGAGCAGCATGCTTGTTTGACTGACCATTTCTGGTTCTAACTGACTGGATATTATCCTTTGAAAGAGGCTGCTGCTGCAGTTTGGCATCCTCAGAAAACGCTTGCCATGGCTTTGCTTCCGTGCTAGCAGTAGTCCAGTCAGCAGATTTTTCTTGCGAGAATTCCCACAATGTTCCTTCAATCTTATCCCTCTGCTATTAAATGAATAGGTGCAATCAAGAGCATAACTATCAGTACAAATTCAATTGAAGCAGTTCAACTATGTGCAAACAAATTGGAAATGAAATGAAGAAAGGAGTACCAGACTTCCAGCATGTTGACTTCCAGATAAGTTCTGATTTCTTGAAGTACTTTTATTTGGAGATGGAGTTCTACCAGCAAGAGCTTGCTTGAGCTCCTGTATTTCCTGCCTCTGGGATCGACAAATTGCAGATAACTTTTCAAATTTGGAAGTCATCTCAGCCCTCTCCAAGTTGGATTGCTTTAGCCGTTCTTTCAGCCTCCCTATTTCAGCCTCTAAAGCTTCTTCTTTTCCAGTATTTTTATTGCTAATTCCAGAACTGATCTTATTGGTATCAAATTCAGCAACAAATGTATTAAATGCCTCATCTTGAAAAGTAGTGGTCGTATCTTCATCCTCAAAAAAATTTATTTCAAAATCTTTAGCAGGGCCATCTTCAGGTTTGCGTGATTTATCACGCGCACTTCTTCGAGTAGAATGAGTTTGTTCGTTTTCCCCTCTTACAGGGCTGCTGTTTTTGGGTAAAGGGTTGTTTTCAAGATGACTCCTGTCATTTTTTATTGAGCTATAGCTGGTTGGATCTTCATCAAATTTGGGCCTGCTCTTCTCTTCAGTAACACTTGAGTCCTTTGCATGCTGAGTGGACCAGAAAGCACCAAGCTGTCCACCACTTGCCCTTGAGCCAGGCTGTGGTGAATTCCTAGCTGGTCCACCAGGTGGTGGGGACGGAGAACTTCTATGAGGCATCTGAGGTGACCTATTTGCAGACCTTGGAAGACCTTTTAAATTGGCACAAAGCATCAGCTCAAGTTTAATGAAAACTAATGTTTAAGCCTACAATATTTAAACATTCTCTGTCTATAATCTTCTATGATTCATCTCAAAACACCAGCGTCCACCATAGACATAGTTACAATTTATATAAGTACTAGATTTTTAACTCGACAACTATACTGTTAATTGGTATATATCTTTACCTTCAAAAGATGGCATTTCAGGTGGCCGATCAGGGAAGGACTTCTGTACAGTGGCAGGCAACTGCTCATTAACACGAAACCAGACCTGCCATTATGGGAAGAAAATCCCAAGATCAGTAAGCAGAATGTTAGATCTCTGCCAAAGATTAACACAGACATAGATGATCTAAAACTAACCTAAATTCATGGGATGAATGGCCAATCAAGCAAAGCGCTTGCCTGCGTGATATCAGGTCTCTCAACAGGTGAAGCTTGAAGCAAGTCTTTGATTAGGTCTGTGACTGAAGAGCTGTATTTAGGTAAGTCCGGAATCCGATAGTTCCCATTTAAGATCTGTAACTTTGATTCACCATCAAATGCATTCTTGAAGTAGCAAATTCGAAAGAGAAGACACCCGAGGGCCTGCAACATGAGAGAGCAGTACCACTTTAAACAGAATATCTAATCTACTCTGTCTCTAGATTACACATGGATATACAAGGTACAGTTGACTTACCCATATGTCTACCTTTTCGTTTATAAGTTCCCTCCGGAAAAGATCCCACATCTATGCCAATAGAAGAATGAAGACATAAATCAAACATTTTAACCACCGTAGAACATAAAAATTTTCAAAAAAAAAAAAAAAAGAATTAGTTCTTTATTCAACCTCAGGTGCTCTATAGGCTGGTGTGGTGTGCTTCCTGATATTGTCTTCTTCTATACCCATCTCTTCAGGCTTCTCAAAACGCTTGTGATTGGTAGATGTGCTCCCAAAATCACATAACTTCCAAAATCCATCGGAACCCAACAAAAGGTTCTCCGGTTTCAAGTCTCTGCAAAAATAAAAATGCCAAGAAGGAAGTAAAAAAACATACACCAGCAACAAACTTCTAAGAAAATCATAAAACATATAGCACTGATATATAACTTGGGAAAACATGAAAATAAGCGGAATTTCATTTTTGGGCCTTACAAAAAGGGATCATGGCATTTTATTTGATTTGATCATACCCCCATTTCTCTTATTCACATGTCAACAAAAAAAAAAAGACTGGCATGTAGCATTACTGCATAAAAGAAACATAAAGCAATAAGAAGCTACAAAAAAATTCAGCAATTTTAAATTAAACTTTCAGGAAGAGCAAAAGCTCCATTTAAAGTTAAATGTGCTTTCCGGTGCTCAAATGGCAAAAAAGTGGGAAACCTAAAAGCTTGAGATTCAGAACGAAATACCTGTGAGCAATTGGCGGGGAGTGAGAATGCATTGCAAAGACTGCATTGCACACATCCCTAAAAATTGTAAGAACCTGTTTCTCCTCAAAATAGGCAGCTCCTCTTGTCTCTAATACATTAACAAGAGATTTGTCACAAAATTCCATGACAAGGAGGGCTTCCTTGGTCCTTCCCAGATCGAAGATAGTATGTGCATAAAGTGTGACGACGTTTGGATGTCCTTGAAGTGATTTCATGATAGAGATCTCCCTGACGGCCAAATCCAATGACTCTTGATCATTGCATATGATGTGCTTCAAGGCATAATGCTTTGAAGCATGTATAGCATCCTTAGCTAAGTAAACACAAGAGAAACCACCCTCAGCAATGGCATTGCGAACATGAAGTTTAAGATTGCCCACATCAAGGGATCTGCCCTCGAGCCCTGCTTGCTCCTTTTGCAAAAATGGCTTGAACCTCCACATGGTTGGTAGGATGAATGTAGAAAAGATTCTGCGCGAATAATGAAAAGCATTGAGAAAAAGAAAGAGAAGAAAGAAGGTAGTTGATGGAAATAAAAGAGAAATATGAAAATCCCAATTGCCTGATACAGAGGGCATATAAGATAGGAGTAGGACAAAAATTGTAGCATAAAAAATTTGGGAAATGACTAAAATGAATAGGAAGATGATGAAGATGATAATAATGGTGTGGTTCAAGAAGAAAAAGAAGAAGAATATGAACATTACATAACCTATGAAACCTATGATTTATGAATGCACATAGAATTGGAAGCAATCTAGCATTAGCAATAAAACAAGAGCAGATCTAAATAGATTTAAATACCGGGGCACCACAAAACAAGCTAATTGCAATCAAGATCTCAATTTTCACCCAGACCCAACACCCACACATCTTCAATCACTGCCACTATTTAGTGGGGTTTTTTTTATTATTATTAGTTGTGTCTGCGGCGACAAACACACATCAGCTACGTATGTTAATCAAATTAATGAATATAAAAAGAAACAAGAATTACCAAATCGTTCTGAATAAAGAAGAAGATATCGGGAATGTACCTGGTTTGATCAAAGCTGAGTGAAGCAGGTTAATAAAGCTACTACAGGACTTGATAGGAATTGATGATTGAGAATTTAACAGAGAAAAGAGGAGAAGGTGAAGTTTTGCTTTTGCTTAAAGATCAGATTTTGAGACCTTTTAGGTCTTTGCGCGGCGTTTCTTTATTCTTAAATTAAAAAAATCTTAATAAATAAATAAAATACGCTACTAGTTGGTTACTACTTACTACTGTTAGCATTTAGCTGTAAGTTCTTTTAATTACTATAATAAAGTATATTTTTATATGCCTTTTTTTTCTAAAAAAGTAATTTTTTATATGATTTAAAAAAAAATGTAAGGGCTTAAAAGGAGAAATTTGTCATTTAAATTCGTCACTATTTCTTGTTTTAATTAAAATTTGTTATTGTATATTTATTTTGATGATTTTTGAACCATACTTTATGGAAAGAGAATATTTTGTTAAATATTTCATTATTACATTTAAAATTAAGTTTGAATATAAATATTTAACATCTAAAAATGTACTCATAATGTGACACATTAAAAAAAGTTATTATTTGTTTTTATGAAATTTTTATTAAAATAAATATTTTTCAAATATTAAACTTAAAAAAACAAAAAAATTAATTTTAATATATGAAGTAAAAAGAATTATGTAAAATTTTGAAAAAAAAATAAATGGAAATAAAACATTTATATATTAATATAGATGGATACCTCGTAACTAATGCTTATGTTGATAGCTTATATTTTGATAGGATCATATATAAAAAACAATTCAAATAAAAAATAAAATATTTTGTATTTGAAATTTTTTAAAAAATTAAAACGGTTCCAAAATCAAAATAGAATAGAAAGACAAAATCTTTTAAGTTATTATAAATTTAAATTTGTTTTGATAAGTAAATTTGATTTGTTTTACAATTTTTCTAATTAATTCAAAACTATGTATTTTTTATTAGTTTAATTATAATATTTTATTATTAAAATATAATTAATTCAATAAAATTAAGTCAAATAAATTAATTAAAAAACAGATTACAATAAAATTTTAATAAAAGTTGATTCTAACACTTAAAATGTCCCTTTTTTTATTTTTTGTTAAATACTTAAACCTTAGCCTCTGTTTAGATTATAAGCTGATGAAATTTCCAAAAAAATATAAATATATTAGATGTAGATGATTGTTTTGTTTTACATATAGATAAATAAGTTTATGATTTGTGCAATGCATAAATCAATTTATTATTTAAATATTTGTAAATGTATAAAAATTAGTATTTTATAGACATTTATATTTAAATTTTAAAAATCATAACATATTTAAAATTCCAATATAAAAATAATATATTAAAAATAAACTTATTTAAAAAATAAATATGATAAATAATTTTAAAATCACAAAATAAAAAATATATAATAAAAATAAATAAAAATCTACATCTATATCGATATGTTTATATCATTAAAAAAAATAAGTTATGTTTATTTTAAAAAATAAAGTTAATAGCTCGCATGGTCCCTAAATTTTATATCAGATTTTATATTAGTTTCTAAATTTTAAAAATTTTTAATTGAGTCTTTAATTATCCAAACGTGTATCAATTTAATTCTTTCATCTGCTGACCCATTTAAATTGATAGCAAATCTTACGTAGCATGACACATATTCTTCTAAACTTTTATTACGTGAAATTTTTTAACATTTCTCTCATCTTCTTCTTGTCCAATACTATTAACCTGATTTAATTTTCTCAATTTTTTATAGATTCAAACTTTTATTACGTGGAATTTTGGTTACTTTGATCCAATCAATTTACAATATCCACTAAAAAATTAAACCAACTAAAAACAAAAAAAAAATTTGCAATTTTTTGGGTTTAACTAAATTTAGTAATTTAGTATATTTGTTATTAAAAAAAATGTGGGTAATTTCTTTGCGTGTACAAAAAAAATGGAATTTTTTTTCAAAACTTAAACACCAAAAATTTGAGATTCACAGTTTCAAACTCCAATAAATTTCATAATCTCACCCTTTCTATCCATAAAGTTTTAAAGCACTAAAACATTAATGGGATTTTAAAAATAAAAAACACCAACTTCATAGAGAACTCGCTAAAAGAAAGAGAGAAAGACTAAAAAAAAATCTTGGAGAGAAATAGAGAATAAATGAAATTGCTCCCATTTATTATGATAGGAAAGAGAAGGAGAGATAAGCCACATAAGAGTAAAAACAAGAAGATAAAATTATATAAAAAGAGAGAAGAAAGGAAAACTCATTACTCTTTGGTATAGTGTCACTCATTTTTGTTCCAGGCTTTAAAGGCCCTTCTTATTGCCATTATTGGTGAAGAAAATAGAAGTTTTGAGAACAATGAGATGCTTCGCTTATTCATAAATATAATCACTAGGGTCGATAAATCAATCCGAAATCATCGAGTTTCGACCCGACCCGACTATTTAGGGTCAGATTTAAAAAAAAAAAAAAGTTTTGGGTCAGGTCGATTTTATTTTTTGAAATGTCAGATTCGGATCGGGGTCGAGTTTGTATGAAACCTGACCTGAAAGATTTATCAAAATACCCTTAATATATATATAATTTTTTTTAGGGTTTCTGGATTTTAATTTCTTTTGACCGCTTTATCTAGGTCTCCCGTCTCCCTTATTTTTAGTTGTAAGTCATCTATTTTGTTTCTATCTAAAGTGATGCCAGGCTGCTTCACATAGGTGCGCTTTGTTCGATCACATGATGAGCATGTTTTGAGTTAACTGCATGTCGAGTGCTTAAGCTCCGCTTGTGGTCAGTGGTCACTCGTTCCTCGTTTGTTCCAATCCTAGTACAAAGCTTCAGATCTGATTCTACACTACATACGATATTCCATTTCAACCCTCACTAGTTCTTCGCTTGGTTCTACAAGAAGCATGCCCGAGGGGGCTACTACGCTCACCGCGCATTTGCATCACCACCTGAGCTTCGCTACCGCTTCGCCCAGCTCCTACGCCTACCACGAACTTGATCTGCTCATCCACTCATCTAGCCATCCCACATTTTTTCCTCTGTTTAGCTTTCATCTATTTCCATATTCTTTCCTTTAATTCAGCAAAGGAAACCTTCAAGCCAGAAAAAACAAAGTCAATCAGACAGAAAAGAGAAGGAAGACGAGCCAATTGTCAGTCCTTAAGAGCTGTCGTTTCCCCTTTAAGAAACAAAAACTGCAACAGCCAAGCTTTCCTCTCAGTAATCTCCATTAGTACTAGCAGATCTAAGGTAAGCTAAAACCATCTCTTTTACATATCTTATTTACAAGTATCAATCATTTTTATTATGTATTTTTCTTAAATACTTGCTAATAGCTTAGAGATAAGACAACAAGGGTTGAACGTACCGAGGCCTTAATGGCTTGGTTTTTGAATTGAATACTCAGTGGGATTAGATTCTAAAATTAAAGTAAAAAGGAAAAACTGGAATTAGATGCCTCAGTGGGAAATATTTAGCTGTAATTTTAGCATTCTTTGGCATATAATAACACAGTTTTAAATCAAATGACACTTTTCATCTTTGATAGTTTGATGCCAAAAGCTTCATCTTTCTTGCTTAAGTATTGATTTATTTATAATTAAACCAACAGTTTTGTTCTTTTTATAGAATGCTAAACAGTTAGATCCATTTATCAAAGTTGGATTTTTGATAACTTTGAATGCAAAAAAAAAAATAGTAAAGCAATATAGGAATCACCAATCATTTCCATGCTCCATGATTTTACTGTAGCAGGGATTATATCAAAATAATTAAAGTATATTTATCTTTAGCTCTAACTGGGAAACCATTTGAGGAGTAATAATGTGAACAAAAAGAAAACAAATATAGTCCTACACCATAGGAAGTAGCAGGATAGGTCATGAAAATGACATAGCCTTTGTGATGTCGCAAGGTAAAATTAAACTCCCTTTAACAGCTTAATCTTCAAAGACCAGTACATCTTGACAGGAAAAACCATCGCTGGGTAGATGCCATTGCCAATTTCTTTAACTTTTTACTGTACAAACAAAAGCTTAGGGGTGGGGCCATTCATGGCAATATATATATTATCCTTTATCCGAATACATAGGCCCTTTAGTTTTTTCAAAGACTACTCTTGCAAGCAAGGCATAATTTAGGTTGGCTTTATTCTATTTGCCCATAAGTATTCTCTATATAAACTTAACAATGCACTTAACACCTAACGATCAATGTATTATGTATTCCCATCGCCCACACCTAGCTTGTTCACCATATTTTACTTGTCAAACAAATTATCCAATTACAAATTATAGTTTCATGTTGCCTTAACATGTGGCTATTTGATGAAATGGGTTTTACCATATAACATGACTTAGGTGATTGTCAAATTTATAACTCTCTCTCCAAGAGATTTAAATAGAATTCATCTTTTCTAAGGATAGAGATGTTAGCTTCTATACTCTAATGTTGTGAGTAAAATTTCTCTATAAAGAAAAGCTTCTTGCAATGGTGCCACTACAAAACCTATATCTACAATTAAAATTACTCTCAATTTCTTCTAACTTGGAACATTTATAGAGTTAATCAACTTACAAATGAGAATTGTTACAGTTAATGTAGGGAATCATTCATAATCTAGGAAGTTGATGAACTACCTAGTTGTCGTTGTTGTTGTTGTTATTATTATTATTATTATTATTATTATTATTATTATTATTATTGCTTTACATAGTTTCTTGGCTTTTTAAGTTTGATAAGACAAATTAAGATATTTTAACTTAGTTTTATATGTTAATTAGCCTCCTTATTTGGCTAAAGGTGCATGCTAAGTTTTACATGGTAGGATAATCTCTTACTTTTTTTAAAAAAAAAATGAACTTGTCTAATTTTTTTGATACTTAGATTCTAAGTTTGTTTTTCAATTGTTTCGATAGAATTATTTGTTAATAAACCTTTTTTATTTGGTTTTATATAGTTAATTTATTCAGTTGCTTTATTTGTTAATATAAAAAATAATAACTTTATTTTTTTTTTATGAATGAAGGTAAAATGTCTAATTTGGGAGATAATTCATGTTCCCTAACATCTTCTACTTCTACCTCACATCAATCACTAATTCAGCAAACTTCAATTCCAACATTTGATAAAAATACAACTTAATCATTAAGTGTGACAAACCAGGGTGCTGAA